CTCTCTCTCTCTCTCTCTCTCTCTCTGCAATTGAAAATGATTTTGAAATTTATTGTCAAACATAAAGTTATAAACAATAAAAATAATAAATTATTAAATATTTATGATTTACGGCACAAATCGTAGAGAAAACAACATTTAAATAAATAATAAAAATGGGAATTAATTTCATTTATCTATCAATCCATCAAAATATATGCCATTTTTGTCCGCCGTTTTCAGTACTAACGGAATATTCATTAAATATAAAATATTTAAAAAATTGTTGATATTTTTGTGACACAATTCATGGTTTGCTATCAAAACAGACAATAATGTTTTTTGGTGGTATTTTCTATTTTTAATTTTATTTAGGATTTAGTTGTTTGAAAATGTTTAATGAATGTTATTTTGAAAACAAATTTCTCTCTACTTTATTATAAACACCCATTGAATCGGAAAGGTTTTATTAAAAATGTTAGCAATTTATATACATATCATGTGTGACAACGAATATATCCTTTAATTTATTAAATTCAAAACATTTGAGACGAGAGCGAAAATTTGTTTGACTATAAACACCGCTTTTCATTATGATAAAAGCAACGAATAAATCTAGTTTAATTTTGTTTATAGTTATATATCCTTAATTACATGTGTATACTGTACAGTATATAATATTGATAATATATGCAGTATATTGTATGCATTTTATTGCAAAGTATTTTATCGTCTTGCATTTTAATTATAAAATTGTTTACTCTATTAGATCTGATGGAGAGCTTAGCATAGGGTAATTTTTATGGACTAATTTATAGCATAATCAGTTTATATAATTGTTATATCGTCCGAATATGTAATTCAATTTATAGGACAGACAAATAAGTATAACATCTAAGAAATTAAATGAAAATTTCATTTATCAATGATAAATGAACATTCATTTCGCTCAGTATTACTAATTTTATTTGGTCTCTCTCTCTCTCTCTCTCTCTCTCTCTCTCTCTCTCTTTCTCAAACACTTTAGATCGTGATCTTTATTTGAAGGGGAAAAACATTCTCTCTCTCTCTTTCTCTTTCTCGTTTTCATTTTACTGTCACATAGGATGAGATCCATTGTATATATAGTTTATTGGATGAGAGAGAGAGAGAGAGAGAGAGAGAGAGAGAGAGCTTATGAAAATCAAATGGAAAATCCTATTATTTTAAAACAAATGATTGAGTTTTTAATGTCAAACAAAACCTATGTTTTTGTTATGATTTAAATAGGAATTTCGCTAACGATAAAAACAAAATACAATTTTAACAATTTGTTTACCCTATTCAGTCAATTGTCAACAATTCCTTAAACAACATAATATAACGATATTTTATTTTGATATAATACCTAAATAATAGTATATATCCGTTAGATTAAGTAATAAGTAAATATACTTAAAATTCATTCAGTATTGATTATCAAGTACATTTAAAATATTATTTATACAAAAAAGATATTACAATAAATAACAAAATATTTATTTTTATTTACATATTAATTATTTAATGAATGAGACACTTATATCCAAACTTTGGTCTATATTTTCATTATCATTGCCAACGCTTAATAATAGTTAGGATAATAAATGGTTTTTTACCACAAGTAATGTTCACTGCGAAAGGATTTCAGTGTATTTTTGCCACACTTTAAGCGAACGAAAAATGTCTTGTTTTTTACACATCCATTTGAATCGGATTTAATGAAAATGAATTACTTTTTATTGTCGGGACCTAAATATCAAACAACACGTTATATATTAAGTGAATTGTGAGGCGAGTTAGCGATTGGTCAACACATGCATCACTTTATTTTACTTTTACTTTTTTTTGTGGTACTCATGAGTAAAACATTAGATCAAATGCAATGACAATGTGTTTTGCCATTTGACTGGACTCTATGGCAAACCATGTGGAAAGTGGTGTGAAATGCTACTAACGATTGACAGTATTTAGTGTTTTTGTCAAATACAATGAATTATGTATTTATATAATAATATACAGTGTTTTATTGAGAGTGAGTGAGTGAGAGAGAGAGAGAGAGAGAGAGAGAGAGAGAATGTCAACTGAATTTTAATGTATATACTGTAAGACCAATGAATCGTTTGCTAAACAGAGTGCCAGAATATTCTGTTGTTTGACTTAAATCTTAAGGCTTAGTGTAGTTTAACTCACTTTCCACTGGAATATTCCGTAAAAGCTGTGGCACTCATATAGTGTGCGATTTGTCATTACAGTTAACTATCTCTGAAGCGATTGTTTGGGAATTTAACGGAGAATTTAAGAAAATTTTATTTGATTTCTTAGATATTTGAACAATAAAATATATAGTTCTCTCTCTCTCTCTCTCTCTCTCTCTCTCTCTCTCTTGGGGGGGGGGGGGGGGGAAGTGATAGGCAAAGTGTCATATAATTGGTGGTCACATCTGGTGATGAAGGTATGGGTGTGTCTACGGATGAGATACATATGCTTACCGATGAGTGCGATGGACACCACAGTGAGTATAAGCCACGAAGCGATTCCGGCCACGAAGTGTATGACAAACGCCGAGACGAACGCAAAGACAATGGCAACGGTGACGGAGTAGGAGATCTCGCGGTAGGCGTTGATCAAGTCGTTGATCACTTTCTTGAGCGGCACGTATGAGCTGATGAACTCGTAGATGGTGTGGCCAAAGGCCTGGCCCTGAAGTATCGCCAACTCCGGTATACAGCGGTAAAGAATCGCTTTCCTATGGCATTAAAATATGGGATCAATTAGTTTCAAAGCGCTTAAGACATGATCAACAACTAAAATCTAGGTTAAAACTGGCTAACGTCGAGTGGACGGGTAGCGTAGGACAGGGCCCGGTGCTGGACAACGAGTTCATCTGGTGATCGTTGCGCTGGAACTGTTGCTCCAGGGGTTGGGCGGCGGTGGACGTGAAGTTGTAGTCGTATCGGCACAGAGAGGATTGGGTGCGGGTGTAGAACGAGTAGATGTCGGCCAGACTCGACAGCTCACGGGGCGGACACTTCTTCACGCATAGCCGGAGCGACGATTGCGGGTTGTTTTGGTCCAAATGAAACACGTAACTGATTCCCAGGACAATGGGTGATACCATAGGGTACAGACAATATACATGTTTTAGGCATAGAGTAAAGTTATGATAGTCTTGTGGGTGAGAGAACTGGAAGAATGGTATGAAAAACTGGTTTTGGGTCGAGTTTAAGACTCTAACCGGTGTTTTAGTATACAGTATATGAGAGCAACAGATGGCTAACCGACAAATGCCTCCCCCTATACGACACTTGTTGATCGCAAATACTAAACTCTGGATCAGATTACTGACTATACTGTACGTGGTGTCTCTATAATCTACTAATGAATATGTGGTACACTATAAGACAATTCCAAGACATTAAACATTATTGAATGGTTGCCGCTTTATGTCCCCGCCTTTCCCACACAGTCATGTTGTTATGTCTGTTGAATACCACATTTGATGTGCATGCCGAACAGGTCGTATAGCTCTGGCCTCTCAACGTACAGCAGGTAGTCCAGTAAGATGTGGCCGCAAGTGTTGCCAAAGCTGTCGGAGCCGTGGATCAGACGGCCGGGACTGCCGATGACGAACGCGAACGACGCGATGAATATCTGTTGAAACAATCAGTGATTACAAAAAACAAGACAAAACTTTTTGCAAACAATTAAAACAGTGTTTAAAACACATGCGTTAAAAGTGTTTGCAATTAGTCGGCAGCCAATCAGTGGCCGCCAACCGGCGGTGACAGCGCCGGCAGATATGTCCCGATCATTACTAACAATTTTGACTGGTCCTAGCGGGTTTTGTCATCCTTGTTCCAGTCTGTCTCGTCCAGCCATGTAAATGCACCAAACCTGCACAACGGGTCCAGGTAGATCTACGTATTGGAAAAGTGCATGGTTACTTTTAATTGTAATTATAACTTTATATGTGATTATTTTGTTACCTCGTCGGTCGTCAAACACTCGCAACAGCCCATCCCTGGTATATATGACAGTTGACTGTCAGCTAAAGTTGACTGTAGATTAACACTAATGGGTGTATAAATTGAGTGCTGGGTTTAAATCGGGGTTCAATTGTATGGACTAAAACATGTGATTAAAAAACACTAGAGTTTAATAAACTGTAAAAAATATTCAAAAATAATGTTTAAATGCTATATAAAAAACAAATACAATAAAAAACTCAATGACTTTTGCGATGACTTTTCAAACACCACTTGTTTTGTGTAAAAGTTTTGTTTGTTTTCAACATAAAAGTCATTCAGACATTACGTCTGCGCACATAAAACATAGTCTCTCTCTCTCTCTCTCTCTCTCTCTCTCTCTCTCTCTTGTCTATACAGGGCTAGTAATGATTGTTAAAACTGACCAGGATCGCCCAAAACAGTAGGAACAAGGTCAGACAGAGCAGGTCGGTACATTTACGTGGTTTGGACGTGTTGCCCAGGTCCATCTAGATGATATGGGAGATGTGCATGGTTACTTTTAATTGTAATTATAACTTATATGCGTGTATTTTGTTACCTCGTCGGTCGTCAAACACTCGCAACAGCCCATCCCTGGTATATATGACAGTTGGCTGTCAGCTAGAGTTGACTGTAGATTAAATGGGTGTATAAATGAGTGCTGGGTTTAAATCGGGGTTCAATTGTATGGACTAAAACATGTGATCAAAAAACTAGAGTTTAATAAACTGTAAAACAATATTCAAAAATAATTTGTATAAAAAACTAATACAATAAAAAACTCAATGACTTTTGCGATGACTTTTCAAACACCACTTGTTTTGTGCAAAAGTTTTGTTTGTTTTTTTCAGTTTTCAACATAAAAGTCATTCAGACATTACGTCTGCGCACATAAAACATAGTCTCTCTCTCCCTATTAATATCCAGCTCTCTCTCTCTCTCTCTCTCTCTCTCTCTCTCTCTCCTGACTCTCTCAACATTTATTTACCCTAAATTAGTGTTGTCCAAAGTTAACCGGCTAAAAAATTTTAACCGGTTAACCGGGTTAAAGTCAAGGATTTTTTTTGACCGATCGGTTAAAAGTCAAAGCATTTTTTGACCGACGGTTAACCGGTTAACCGATTATAGTAATCAACATAATTGATGTGATGCTCGTTATAGCTAGTGATCTATGTATTAGTGAATGAGTGAGAGAGAGAGAGAGAGAGTGAGAGAGAGATTTGTAATAGATTATTACATAGGTGTTATATAATATCTAACTATTGAATATATAAACATCACACGACTAAAACATACTGATTAATAATATGCCACAAAAATGTTTAATAAAAATATCACAAATAATTAGTGTTGTCCAAAGTTAACCGGCTAAAAAATTTTAACCGGTTAACCGGGTTAAAGTCAAGGTTTTTTTTGACCGATCGGTTAAAAGTCAAAGCATTTTTTGACCGACGGTTAACCGGTTAACTGATTGACCGCTACGTAATTGATGTCACAGCAGTAATTGGTAATAATAACTAATAATTTTAATAAAAGCAGTCATAATTCATCAATAGAGTTACACCCATTTTGCAAAATAACCACAAAAGTAAAAAAATACTTTAAAATTTTTGCAAAATACCCTAAAAATTAGGGTATTTTACAAATATATTAGGGCATAATGACGTCAGCCGACCAAAAAACGGTTAACCGGTTAACCGCGGTTAAGGTTAAAGTCAAAGATTTTTTTGACCGATCGGTTAACGGTCAAGCCATTCTTTGACCGGTTAACCGTTTGGACAACACTACAAATAATTTAAGCAACAATTGAATAACCATATAAAAACGTCTAATAATTATTATTATGGTGATTACTTTGCTAATATATCGCATATATTAAATGAGTTAAAAACATGTTTAATCTAACTTATCATTGAACAACAACTAATACAAAAATGCATATCATATCTAAATATTATAATAGTATTTATAATGATTTAATTTGTGAAAAACACACGTATTTCACGAGTGTATACGTAATTATAGCCAAGGAATACTAAAAACATCAATGTATATTTATAACCGTAATATATGACCATTTTGTATTACTTTATAATTTATAAATGGCTATTTATTGGATCTAAAACCGTATATTATTATTAACAATAATAAAATACATATAAAAACTTTATAAATTATTCTAGACTGTTATTTTGTCGCAAAAACTATTTCATTGTATCGTTTAATACTATTTATTACTTATAGATAACTATGGATGGGACTTTAGTGAGACTTTAGTGGAAAAAAGTATATATTAAAGTGTAATTTTGTATATACATCAAAAGTGTTACTAGGTCTGTGTCCGTTAGTAATGCTTTCAAGGTAAAATCCCATGTATGACGTTATGTTGCAATGTATATAAAAATGCAATTCCTATCCGTATAGATAACATACAAAACGCACAGAATCTGTTCAATAATGTACAGAATATTCTGTAACCAAAATTATTATCATTTTAGGCAACTATTAGGCTATAATATAAATACAATTTAAGTGTATATAACATGTGCGCCAAATATGAATTTGCATTTAATAGACAGATGTTTTATCATATGTTTTTATGCATATTTCATGTATTTATCATAATGTATTTATGAAAATAAAACCCAATATGGGTTAAAATTATTTATTTAAAAACATATAATAAAATCGTTTAAACAAAAAAAATCATAGCATTTACTATAAACACAAACCTATTATAATAAACACATCTGGCATTGCATTACAAACCTTAATGAAATCAATTGAATTTACAAAATAGCACAATAGATATACTCACGACTTGTATTATAATTTATAAATTAATAATCTAAATCATGTTCAAAATAGTTCACTATATAAAGTTACTTTACGTATGTTTAAGTGGTATATTAGGATATAGTATACTCGTGGCGGGGAAAATCACCTGGTACAAATATACTGTATATATATAATTTTATATTTTACCTCCACATCACTTATGGGGAAAATTAATTCCTCTTCGCGTATTTGATAGCACGTCATATTGTGGTAATATTAACAGGTATTTTCAGCCAGATTTATACCTGGTAACAGTATTGTACTGTACTAGATAATTGTTTATTATTATAGCGTAATTCGCTGGAAAACACACACAAAAATAGTTCATTCAATAAACCAAAAATGTTTTAAATAATTTTTAATACGGATTATAACATAAATAAAAGTTTTAACTTTTAAACCCAATTATTAATGAGGTATCAAAAAACATATTATGAACACTCGTTTAATCATGTGTTTAATAGTCGATTGTATTTACAATTAATAACATTAAATCAAATGTCCAATAGTTATATACAGGGAGACAAATATCAATCACTGGTACTCTCGTATTAAGTACAGGTATCACAAGAAATATGCGATATTATTATTAATATATAACTTATAACTTAATAGCATATGTTGTACACTATACACATACACGGTAAGAAAAACGCACATGTTTGTCTCACTCAAGTTAGCTTAATGAATTTAAATACCATACAGCCATAAGATATGCACATATTTATATAATGTAACCTCTAAAACAGGCAAGCACAGTTTTAAATTACAATGAAAACATCACAAGCTAAACTAGTTTTACTGTTGAGTAATACGTATTGGTATTAAATGAATTCAGCGAGATTTTATTTCAATAATAATAATCATAATCAGTGTACAGTATATCCCATACATATTGTATATCTCCCGTACAAAATACAGTACAAAATGCTCTGAACATTGATATTGAAAATGAAATGTTCAAGGATTTTGAGAAAGAAAGAAAGAAAGAAAGAGAGAGAGAGAGAGAGAGATTTAACTTTTAAACCCAATTATTAATGAGGTATCAAAAAACATATTATGAACACTCGTTTAATCATGTGTTTAATAGTCGATTGTATTTACAATTAATAACATTAAATCAAATGTCCAATAGTTATATGTTTCCGGACTTTTCATTCGTAAGTATTTCGTTTTTGGACAATATGTGGTGAACACTTTTATAATGCTAAAAAAGCTTGTTTAATTTGTATATACAAAATTACTAACGATACTTGTATTTTTAACTTATACAATTAAAAAATTTAATCAATACAACAAAATAAATTACAAAAATATTATTCAAACACTATTATTTGTGTTCAAAATAACTGAATATTGTCTATTATTTTTAGTATTGTGAGTTCTGTCATATGACGTCATACAACACTTTACATGATATGACACTGAATTTTGTCTATTATTTTACAAAATAATTAATGATATTACAATTGTTTAGCATTTTATCACTAATTTTACATAAATTGCAATCAATTCACACAAAACACTATTATTTGTATTCAAAATACATTGAATTTTGTTTATTATTTCACACAAACTCTTCATTGCATTTAATTTACTCTTCATTTCAATCAACGAAACACTTATTAATTTTAAACATATTTTTAAAACAATGTTAAAACAATTTTTGTTAACATTGAATGCAATAAAACACATGTGATATTTATATGACAACAAATGTCAATTCCTAACAAACATCACATGCTTTGTCCGGTGGGATCTAAATTAGGAAAATAGTATTAGACAAACTTTCGTCACAAGTGTAACTTTCGAGACATGTATAAAGGCTCACCACATATTGTCCAAAAACGAAATACTTACGAATGAAAAGAGCAGAAACTGTTATATACAGGGAGACAAATATCAATCACTGGTACTCTCGTATTAAGTACAGGTATCACAAGAAATATGCGATATTATTATTAATATATAACTTATAACTTAATAGCATATGTTGTACACTATAC